AAAGAAGAAACAATAAAAATAAAAAATGTGCCAAGTTCTTTTGTCATCAGTATGCCAGTCTAGCTACAAACATAAGAATCAGCAAAATATCAGTATTAGCACCGAGAAAACCAGCTAACTTTGTACAAAGGACAATGAAAATGAATTTTTTATCAATAGAGGGCAGCAGAAAATGAAATGTTTAATGGCGAATATCTCAATTACTAGTGTAATGGCAAGAAATATTCAGTGCATGATTTTCTTTCCAATGATACCACCAGGTGTGTCCGCCATTTTGTTTTTCAAGATTGCAACCAGTAAACTTTCTCCAAAAAAATGGCACCAAAATTTTTTGTTTGATCAGTATAAAATTCAGAATAAGAAAAACGTTGTTGCTATAAATTCACATGATTTTCGAACACAATAACATAAGGCCCTGCACTATACCAATATCAATAATGACAGTTTATACTTTAAAACAATGTTATATAATATAATATAATACACATTATAGTATAGTAAATTTTTCTAATACTATCTAGATAATGTGAACAATTATATTAACATTACGTGTACTGTTTATGCCCTATAAATAAAGATGTACAATTATTTTCTCAATATATTTTAAATTTATAAAAAAATAACCTCTAAACAAAGAGAAGCATTCATAAAAACATGTTCAAACAGTGGAAATAAAACATTGACTTGAATTATAAAATAACACTAATAATAATAATAATAATAATAATAATAATAATAATAATAATAATAATAATAATAATAATAATAATATCAATACAAATAATAACAAATCTTTTCTACTGGTTACTTGTCTATTTTAGTAGCAATATACAAAAAAAAAACCAGCAATAATAATAATAATAATAATAAATAATAATAATAGCATAAATAATGACAATAACACTAAAAATAAATTTTAGTAGTAATAATAGCAGTAACAATAAAAACACAAGGACAAGAAAAACAACAAAAATAATAACAACAACAGTAATGTTGGTATTTATAGAGTGCTCCACACATGTAATCTCGGAGCGCTTCACTATAATTGTGACAATGTTTCGGCAAATGTATTGTTCTATTTTATTTCATTCAGTTATGAGAACATAAAAAATAGGTCAGCTGTACATGAATGAAACGACTGAATTTACAAAATGAAAAAATATACAAATGACAAAAGTTCAAATATTAGACAAAAATAACAAAAATAATAACAAGAACAACAGTAATGTTAGTAAACTCGGAGCGCTTCACTATAATGCATTTGTCAATTGTAGTCCCGCCCCCGCAGACCCGTCCAATTCATGTATAACCCAGAACATGAGACTAACGCTCCTTATTTAATAGCTCAATAGTAGGAATAGGTGTGTCTTAAGTGTCATAGATCTGCAGAAAGGTGTTTCAAGAAGGTAACTATACTGAGAATCTTGTTACTTTGTGGCTATTGGGGGAGTAGCTCCTTGAAAAGCTCTGACTTTAATAGGCTTTAAGCAAAGGACATCACCAGACTTTCACATCGTGCGTGAAAGTGACACAGGTACAGTAAATTCTGTTGTTATTGCCACCTAATCTAATCACTGAGACGGAAAGTAAAAATCATTGCAAAAACAGGATGTCTTATCTCCCAGGTTCAGATTATCATAATATTTATACAAAATCAAGTTTTGTAGATAATAGCTTTTTTTATAATAATAGTGAATTATAAAAAATAATACAAGGTCGGGATGTTGCAACCTAATAATTATGACTTTGTCATCGATTAAAATGTGTAGATGAATTATAGGCTCATCAGTCTTCTATCTAGCCTAGTGGTAAAACTGCTGAAATGAACTATAGCAGGAAAAAAGTAGAAAAATATATTTTTGGTTTTTCTATTCTATATGTCAGGAAAAAATCCCCAGGTCTAGATCTTGAGCAATTGTTATTTTTAGCACAATAACATTTTGGCCTAAAAGACCCTATTTTGGACTAAGGGGGTAGGAGAAATATATTTGTTTTTAGTCACTTTTACATATGGTATGGATATGAAATGTAACAAGAACTTGGCTAATAGTTACTTTTCATTCTCGTTAAAAAATTGGATAGGAATGATGATGCCATCACGACAAATTCCAAGTTCATTCATTTTGGAGGGAAAATAATTAATATTATTGTTATCAAAGTACAGAGCATAATCAAAACAATGTTATACATACAGGAACAAACTATAAAATATATATTTAATAAACTACTGCAATGTAAGGGCAATGGAAAACAAAATACTGAAATTTTGCTCTAAAAGACCTGGATCCAATCTTTGGCCTTTTAGGATCGTCTGGGTAGGGGAAACATATTTGTTTTTTTCACTTCTAGTTTTGCTGTGAATGTAGAAATTGTCCACTGTTGTTGAATGGTGACCCCAGAAATTTGCTGACATGGGGACCGACAGTGTGGGTCCAAACTCAAAGCCAACTACACTGAAGGTCAGGGATGGTTTGTTATGGCTTACTACATGGCCGAAAATTGTGCTTTTAAACCAAAATATTAAAGACAGGTAATCAAAATACGTTAATTATACAGTCAAGTTAATTAGGCCTGTACTACGTGAATTCCTCAAACCCCTCCCAGCCAATTCACTGGCGCCATCAATTCTGTCTTTAGTAAATTTGTATTATTCTAATGCTTATTACTTATAAGTTTATTATTACAATTAATATTGTTATTACTGTTATTCTTATATATTAGTAGCCTACTATACATTATTATATATTTTATTTCTATATTATATATTATATATATATATATATATATGTATATATAAATATATATACATATACATATATATTTAACGTTGATAAAGATAGCAGGAGCTATCGAAATATTCGTTTGATTTTGTTATACCTTAATAAATTTGTGTTCCGCAAGTCAACTTCCAATGATTGTACACCGTTTTTTCATTGCTTTTGCATTTTATATATATATATATATATATATATACATACATATATATATATATATATATAATTATTCTTATCTTATATAGTTTATTTAAACTGATATTAGTGTTTCTGTTCTTATTATCCCTTTTATCTGCTTTTTTAATATTAATTCTTATTGATAAGATTTACTCAAAATTATGCATATTTCTTTTTGTACTTTCCTTATGAAAACAAAATTGTAGATAATAAAAATAATAATCAGCATTTATATTGAAAATGTATTTCGTATTTGTAAATGCCAGCTAAATTGAATAATTTTAAGCTAAAATAAAGCAAAATTTTTATCCTTGTAGTATTTATTATTTTTATGTGGATTAATTGTTTTTTGATATTCAAAAATATCTTGTAAAATGTCTAATAACAAAATAATTTGTATGTTAAATGTAATTATATTTTTATATTGATATTGTTAGAATATAATTATTAGCTAAGGTTCCAATTATATATATATATAAATTTTTTATTATTACTATAGCCTTTTTTTATTTTTTGTATTGTGTTTTATATATGTAAATACCATGCAATTCAGCTTATGCTGCAGCTATCTGATAAAAATAAAATTTAAAAAAGGATGTTAATTCTGAGGATGTGGAAAAGGAAAGCAGTGAGGTAGATTATAATGAGAAGGATGATGATAATGATGATTGATGAGGAGGATGTTGATGATGAGGATGACGAGGTTAATGATGATGAGCATAAATAAGGATGACCATTACAATTAATAATATGGTTGTTGATAAGAACGATTATGATAATGATGATTGAAGATTAGAATCATCCTCCCTACCCTTATTCTTGTCCTTATCCCCATTCTCACCTCATCCTCCTCCTCATCATGAGGAGGATGATTAGGGATGATGATAATGGGGATAAAGATGATGATGATAATGATTGATGAACGAGAAGGTTGAGGATGTTGAAGATAAATGAAGATGATGATGATAAAAATGGTGATGATGATTGATTATTAGAATCATCCTCCTCATTCTCGTGAATGGTTATCGATGATGATAATAATATCAGTGTAATAGTAATATAATAATAATAAGAATAGCAGTACAGTACTAACACTAATATTAACTTTAATATTGAACAATAATATTGATAATAATGATATACTATATATAAGCCTATCAATAATATTATATAATATAATATAATTATACTAATAACGATGATTAAAAATGTAGTGTAGAAAGATTCACACCAAAATAATTATTTGCCTATCTTAATAATGTTATTTTAATTGCTAATCCTAATATTTTGGTTTAAAGCACAATTTTGGGCCATGCTAAGGCATAAAAACTCTCCTTGACCTTGAGTCTAGGCAGCCAATGGGGTTGGACCCACCCTGTCTTTCAACTTGTTGACAAACTTTGGGGCCACCACTGTAAAGTGTAAGTATCTAAGTTCATGTCAACTTTCACAATCTAGAAGCGACTGAAAATGTAAAATATGTTTCTCCACCCCATAGAAGCGGTTTGTCGCAGTGCAACGGTTTGGTTTCCCAACCTCGAGGCCAGGGTTTCAATCCCTTGCTGTACATTTCACTTGTGTCCTTGAGCAGGCATTTATCTGCATTGCTTCTCTCTACCCAGGAGTATAATTGGGTACCTGGTAGGGTTGCCTGCTCCTGCGCTGATTACCAGCAACATTTAAGCATGTGGAATGAAAAGGAGCACTTTGTATCTACAATGAAAGGTGCTATATAAATGATAGAAATAATATCAATAATAATAATAATAATAATAATGATAATAATAATAATAATAATAATAATAATAATAATAATAATAATGATAATAATACTAATAATACCCTAATCCTAATACATCAAGACAATTGTATAGCGTATTTTAGAGCAAAATTTTGTTTTCCATTGCATTTATAAGGTAGTAGTTTATTATTAAGTAAATATATGTTTTCTTTGTCCCTGTATGTACAGCATTGTTTTGAGATTGCTAAGTCTGTCTCTTATACACATCTAGATGTGTATAAGAGACAGATCAAAGAGAGTGAAGAGTAACAATTTAGACAATTTCTTGTAACATTTCTTAGTCCAAAATAAGCATTTTTAAGCCCAAAATTGCCCTAGGAAGGAGGATTTTTTGTCAGAGATTATATGGTATACTGATTCAGAAAAAGCCAAAATACATTTTCCTGTACTTATTCCTGCTAATTTTCAACTGCACCTAGTCTAAAAGTAATGACAAATTACTGTAATTGGTGAATATCCTTCACAACAATCAGCCTCTCTGAACTGGATGTTTCAACGAATTTGTTTGTTCTCTTCATTAATCTGCAATGCTCTTAACGATATGACGCCACATTATTCTGTTTTCTGCGTGTTCACTAAATTTGGGGTCAATGTTGGTGCATTTTTTGTCTGTTTCTCCTTGTTGGTCCTTATAACGTCTTCTTTTGGTGGTGGTTTAGTTCACTGTAGAGGAGTTGACGTGGCAGTCTGGTATTATTCATGCAGTGGACATTGCTTGAGAGGATGCTTCCGAGGTATGGAAACAAGTCTACTTGTTCCAGTGGTTTGCTAAGAACATTGATGTTGAAATCTGGAATGGTTGAGTTTGGGGGCTGCGCAAGTATTTTTGTCTTGTTAATTGTAAGGCCGAATTCAACATATGCATTTGTGAAATTATTGACCGATTCATGCATTTCTTCAGGTGAGTGAGAAGGTGAGGCATGTTGTCAACGTACTGCAGTTCAGTGACATGAGTGTTGTTAGTCAGTCTTTGTGATGACAGTCTGGAGAGGTTATACAGACCCTCATTGAAACGGTACTTGATCCCTACATCAGGATTGGTAGGAGGAATTTCGTGGAGCATGTCTGTAAGATACAGGGAGAACAATGTTGGTGCAAGTACGCAACCTTGTTTTAGGTTGTTGGTGATCGGGAACTCTTCTGATGTGTAGTTTTGATGTGTTACCTGTCCAACCATGTAATCGTAAAATGCCCGGATAAGTGCCACAAAATGATCAGGGCAACAAATCGCTTCAGAACCATCCACATGGCAATGAGTGGTACAGTGTTGAAAGCCTTTTCGTGATCATAAAAGACAAGGAAGGGTGGTTTCTGTTCTCAGCATTTTCCTGCAAATGTCTTGCACAGAATATCGTGTCAATTGTTCCTCTGCAGGTTCGAAACCTACACTGAGATTCCAGCAATTTTTTCTCCAAGATGACTATGAGGCGGTTGAGCAGTATAAGGGCAAAGATTTTCCCTAGGATTGAGAAGAGGGAAATGCCACAACAGTCTCCACAAATGTGGTGATGATAACGTTCTTTAAACCTGCAGGTACTGTTTGAAATTCCCACATTCTCAGGATGAGATTGAAAAGCCTTAAACCACCATTCATAAGTTCCAGGTGAATGTCGTTTGGACCTGGTGACTTCTTTGGATTCATATTTTTGACGGCATCACTACATTTTCAGAAAGATGGAGGGTTTGACATCCATGGTTGAGGAGGAGTTGGAGCAGTGGAGTCAATATTTAGGTGAGTGCTGAAGTGTTCCTTCCAGCGGTCGAACGTCCTTTGGCTGTCAGTGAGGGTGTTGGTGTTGTAAGAAGTCTTCAGTGTACCCATTGAAGTTTTTGTTAGGTGTACAGCTCTTTGGTACATGCGAAGAACTTTCTAAGGTCTCTGGTGTTTGCATACTGTTGCAGCTCAGAAGCCTTCCATCAGCTATTTTGAATTTCTCTTATTCGACTTTGACATACCCGCTTGAGATCTTGAAGGCTTTTTTTTTATCTTAAATCTTAATGTATATGGTTGAATCTTGTTTAAGGGTATGACAAGAATCTCTTTTGTCATGATTTCTTAATTTTTTCAAGAAGCCAATGATGCTGAGGGGCTGTCTTTGATAAATTCATAGAATCTTCAGCTTTATATTTTATTTTTGATTTGTTGAACATTTTTTGTGGCCAGCACATAAAGTGGAAAAATTGGTTGACCATAAACGGAAATTTTTGAGCCGACTGATGAGAAGTTTGTTGTCCGTCATCAGCATTTCTTGCTGCCTTGGTCATAATGACATCTTTCTTTTCACATCGGTGAGTGATGATATAATCAAAGACGTGCCAGTGTTTGGAACGAGGATGCATCCACATAGTTTTAAAGCAGTTTGGGAGCTAGAACTGAGTGTTAGTAATAAATAGTTCAAGTTCTGCACAAAGCCCCTATTAAACTAAACTGCTCATTTGAACTGAATTTTCCGATGCCTTGTTTCCCCATTTCCCCACATTCTCCAATAGAAGGCAGCTCTTTCAGACTCTGGCATTGAAATTGCCAAGAAGGATGAGTTTGTCTTTTGGTGGTACTTTAGAAAGAATGGTGTTCAGTTGCTGGTAAAATTAGTTCTAAAGATCTTAGAGTGTATTAATTACTTTGCAAGTAGACCTGTGAAGCACCGTCAAAGCTTTGTCGTTTAGAGTACCGTAAGACATCCCGAAAAATTGCATTGAACTTTCCTGACCGCATTAGTGAGGTCTCAACAATGGGGTCCATAATCTACCCCCACTGATGCAACTCCATTAAAGTTTAGGTGCAGAACCCTCCTGAAAAATATAACGATTCTGTTCTAAAAACAACAGGGTATAACTTGTCTCTTATACACATCTAGATGTGTATATGAGACAGCCTCTATGCTCTGCCCTACCCCTCCCCAACCCTAAATCCCCAGTCACGTTCCTACTATTTCTTTTATGCATCCATCAAAATATCCTAAAAGCTCAGTACTTTGACAGCCAGAAAGAGAAAACTAGACATTTTACACTCACAAATTAACTTCAGGGTACATTTCTTTTTCTCTGCTCTCCTCTGTCCATGCGTCAATCCCCTTCCTCCCCCACCCATGAAATGTCTCTCCCACCCACATAGATGTATGTATTATTTACTTCCTAATGCTAATCTTTTTAAATTTATATTTTTTCTAAGTCGTCTGTTTTTAGTCATATTTTACCAAGCATTTTGAATTTTCGTTATAAACACCGATTGACGATGAACGCAACACAGCCCCGACGTTACCAACGATTTTACAAATTAATGTTCAAAAAAGGCTAAAAGAAGACTACAGATTTTTTAAATTTTTTTAAAGCCATTATTATACAGTAGTGTGGGAAAGGTCCCCAGCCATTTCCTGGCATCTAGAGGTCTAAAATTTGCTCACATCAGTCCCATCACAGTTTGTGTGTGGACTCCCATCACACTACCCCCTGTCTCTTATACACATCTAGATGTGTATAAGAGACAGGTAAAAGGTACTACCTCTACACGAACACATGATTACATCCACAAACAAGCTAAAGGAACTCCTCAACTACAACATCCACTCTGCATTATATTTGTGGATTATGAGAAATCATTTCTATAGAAACTCCCTCATATATTATCAATATTATTATAATAACTCTAAAGAAATACATCCTCACAATGTGAGGTGGAAGTAAACGTGAGTGTACTGCAGCTGAAATTATAATTAAGTATTTGTAAATGTTGCTGTGTAAAGCTTTGTCTACACTATCAATTTTAAGTGACAAAGTTTTGTGACATGTCCATATTTGGGTGTAATATGACATCATCATGCCAATATATAATAACAATAATAATTCATATAGCACCTTTCCATAATGATTAAGGTGCTTGACAGTAAGCAATCTCAGTCATGCGAGTTAACAATATACAATAATCACAAAACATTAGCACATATTAAAATGCAAACCAGATAACTGGACAAGTGTACAAATAGCAGATTTGATATCTAAAAATCTTACAAAAATTGTATCATTCTATAGTATGATTATCATTATGATGATTTACAAATATTCAGAAAGTTATAAAATTTAACACAATACCTAAGGATATGAAAATGTTCAAAGTCAAATGAACAATTTACAAAAACCTATAAAAATATTTCAATTAATAGTAGATAAAATATTATTATACCAATATTATGCAGATGATCCTTGTATATTTTATCATTGCTATTGAACTTGATGTATTATAATGTGTGTAAGATGTGTGGTGCTTTTTTAATCAACATATGTCATTTTGGTTCTGTTTTTATTTCAAATCACATAATTTACCTGTTTCTTTGCTGAGGAAATTAGAACACATAATGCACTATCTCTGTGCAACTTTACTCTAGCCAATAGGTGGGTGGCCCATTGTCGCAAATTCGAAGATGGCCTGAGCATAGCTCACAACAAATTTACAAATCGGTTCTTTTTAAAGAGGTTTTAATTTTTTTTTAAATTTAACTGATATTTTCTTACTGTACATAACAGGTCTCTGTATATTTATAATTGTAGCAAATAATAATAAAAATAATAATCATAATAATAATAATATAGATTTGTTTATATAGATGTATATATAATGTTTTTGTATAGACGTACAGTATGTCTATATTTGTTTAAACTTTGTATTACAAACCGTTTCAGCATATGGCTGCTGTCTTTCATACAAGAATAAATAAATAAAGAATATCTCATCTTATTCCACCTACATGGTTCTCTATTCAGGGGCGCCTCCAGATTTTTGTGAAAGGGGTGGGGGCGAATGAGTAGTGGTGGACATCCAGGCAAGCAAGGTATGCTCTGCAATCCAAAAAAAAAAGTTTTATTGTGCCTTTTCTTCGTTGTACTTAGCACTTCTTAGCCAAAACCTTCTAAACAAAATTTTTTTTTGAGTTGACTGCTACATTTCATTGGATGTCTAAGTTTATTTTATTACAGTAGTTTTTCAATTTTTAGCAGGCTTATCGCGTCATACTCTCAGCTGCTTAGAATTTCCTCATGGTTGGTTTTCCATACCAGCTAAACGCCTGGGAGTCAATAGATTAAAGTTAAAAAAAAAATCTGCATACAGACAACAGGTATAGAAGAAGCTTCTATAAATTAAATTGCAACTTGTTAAATGTACGGGAATAAGAAAACTATTGAGAAGAAACTACAACCACTTAGGATGAGAGCTACAGTAGTAACAGACCAATGACGGTAGAACGTTTTTCAAAATGAGGTGTTGGGGGGGGGGGTATTTCATAAGGTAATAAATCCAGTATGCGAGCATCTAGGCTGGGGCCATGGGGTTGCTAAGGAACCCGGTTGATAATATGATTATATAATTTTGTATTCTCAATTTTTAAAAATAATTAGGAAGGTGGAGGCTTGTGCCGGCTGGGCTCTTACTTGAATCTGCCACTGTTTAATATAACATTTGACATAGCCTATCATTTTGTTTCACAAATGATTAATTTGTAATGGCAAGCGAAAAGTTTTTCTATGTTCATTTTCTGTCTCTTATACACATCTCGTTGCACTATAAAGAGTGCCTATACCTCCACCCTGCGCCTACAGGATTTACGCAAGGCGAGCAAGCGATTCCATTGTTTTTCTTCATGCTCGAGGATAAGTTTCAAGGAAACTTTTAACAGATGCGCGCTTTACAGACATCAATATAGTACAAACTGGTTGCTCAACTCAAAATGGGTACTTGTAATGCTTGTTTGAAAATGAAATAAAAATCTATATTGTATTATAATAAAAATAGGTAGCTTTATAAAGCGAAAATAAACAAGGTCTCTAAGCACCAGATAATAATTATAACAATAATACCTGTAATAATATTAATAATAATAATGACATTGTATAATGTTCGTTAATGATGTTTGTCACTGGTGCTGGGAGCAATCACAAATGTTGGGGAGGGGGGCAGGCCCCAGTAGAAAAAGTGAAGAGGCTATTATGGCCCCTGATTCTGCCACCGTTGCAACAGACGATTTCACCCCATTTTGCCTAGAAGGTTTGACCCCCACCCCCAATTTTGGTTTTGCCGTCAAAGTCATTGGAAAAGCATGTAAGATGAACCCCAGGGGTTGGGTACGATTCCCAGTCCCCTTCGAAAAACCCCAAAACTGGTCAACTTCAACCCATCTAGCACATGAACCAAATTTTGTCAGAACGAAAGAACTATGAGTGTATGTTGTAAAAAAACTTAAATCTTACATAATAACAGGTTGGGAGGGTGATGTAAGAAAACCCCATCCAACCCACAAAGCACCAAAACCTAGCCACTTTCCTATCTCAATGCATTGGCAAAAGTAAAACATGAGACAGTGTACAAAACAATTACCGCATGTAGCACATACAACAACTTTCTTCCAAACAAAATCCTATCGATGAACTGTACATCACAAAAAAACATAAATCATACTCAATACCAGGTTGGTATAGTAATGACCCCCAACCCCAATCCCTATCCTAATGCATTAATTGACCAAACTTCTTTAATAAAGTAAAATATGAGAGTACAGCAAACAAAATCTGATGTGTATACATTGGTAGTGGTGTTGCCAGACCTCAAGTTACTATAGTTATTCCTCCTCTATGCTCTGCCCTACCCCTCCCCAACCCTAAATCCCCAGTCACGTTCCTACTATTTCTTTTATGCATCCATCAAAATATCCTAAAAGCTCAGTACTTTGACAGCCAGAAAGAGAAAACTAGACATTTTACACTCACAAATTAACTTCAGGGTACATTTCTTTTTCTCTGCTCTCCTCTGTCCATGCGTCAATCCCCTTCCTCCCCCACCCATGAAATGTCTCTCCCACCCACATAGATGTATGTATTATTTACTTCCTAATGCTAATCTTTTTAAATTTATATTTTTTCTAAGTCGTCTGTTTTTAGTCATATTTTACCAAGCATTTTGAATTTTCGTTATAAACACCGATTGACGATGAACGCAACACAGCCCCGACGTTACCAACGATTTTACAAATTAATGTTCAAAAAAGGCTAAAAGAAGACTACAGATTTTTTAAATTTTTTTAAAGCCATTATTATACAGTAGTGTGGGAAAGGTCCCCAGCCATTTCCTGGCATCTAGAGGTCTAAAATTTGCTCACCTCAGTCCCATCACAGTTTGTGTGTGGACTCCCATCACACCACCCCCTCCCCACCCTGGCAGAATGTTTCTGGATTCACTCCTCATATCATTTGGTATTTGGAGTGATTATGATCTATTCTATTAGACTGGGTTCCAGTCCCTAATCTTTGTCTTAATCAGTTGAAATGCTTAAGAATAAATCTATTTTGGCACAAATGGCGTTCCATATTACTATGAAAGTCTCCATGCTCTTACCACCCCAACCTTGTACCATGCATGAAAATGTATTGTATTCCTAGTGTATTATGAGTAAATTTACCATACAATTAAAATTGAAAGTGTACCTTTTTAGCAAGGGTTGCCTAAGTCGGAACTAACTCCAGGTATATAAAATTTATTAGAAAATTTGTTAATCGTATTAATTAATAGGTAAGGATTACTTGCTGTTCATTTTAATTAAGCATATTTTTCATTTTTATTAAGCATATTTATATATGTAAATTTACATCAATTATAAATTTATATTTATTTAATAAATAATTAGTTATAAATATTTATTTGAATAGAATGAATACTATGTTCATTTTTATTACCCATTACTCTATTAGTAACCCCTCTCTAATAGTATTAATAGTAATAGTATTGTTGCAATTTGAATTTAAAATAATGATTTTTAGTACAACTTTTGTTATGGGGGAGGGGAGCTGGGTTAAAAAAAAGATGAGGGAATGATGTGTGTTTTTGAGTTTATCACTAAATGGGGGTTTATAATTTTCAAGTGCCTAATAGCCACCCATACTCTAATAGTAACCCATCACAAAAAAAAACCAATCGAAGAATAGTAACCCAGGCTATCATTAAAAGTTTAATGGTACATTCATTTTCTTTTTTGACTTTCGTGGGTGAGAATTGGTGCATGGATAAGGGGAGCAGAGAAAAATCTGTACCTCAGAGTAAAATGTCAATTTTTCTTTTTCTGGTTGTCAAAGTACTGGGCTTATTAGAATATTTGGTCAACGCAAAAATGATATACTGCAGTAGGGAAATGACTGGGGTTTAGTGTGGGGCGGAGTGGTATGAGCATTAAGGAGGAATAAGTATAACTTGAGGTCTGGCAACACCACTACCAATAAATACATATCAGATTTTGTTCCTGTACTATCATAATATTTTACTTTAAAGAAGTGTGGTCAATGCATTTAGATAAGAGTGGGTAATTTGTAGGGGTATTACATCACCTTCACAGCCTGATATTGGGTAGGATTTGGTTTTTTTTGTGACGTACACTGACAGTACATTGTTGGGAAAATGTTGGTCCATGTGCTACGGAGTGAATTTTCTGTACACTGCCACATTAGAAAGTTTTGCCAATGCATTAAGATACTGGGACTGTGGGTAGGTGGGGGTGCTTTGTAAGCAGGGTGGGAGTAGGGTTACGCATACTGGTAGGGATAAGAGCGTCAACTCTGCAACTTATATTTAGAGTTTTCGCTAACGCTTATGCTGCTCTCGCTTAGTAGTCTGTTCCATTCTTGAATAGCAAGAGGCATAGAATGTGCCATCAGTTGTTTTTAATGATTTAGGCGGAAGTTTAATTCACTTTGGCGTGTGCTATGCTTGTTTTTAAGTTTCTGTGTGGTTGCCAAAAACCAAAATGAGCATGCATAGTCAAAATAACATTGATTAAAGGAGAACGTAGTATTTTTGTAGAATTTTCATTGAGTAAAGATGTTTGTACAAGAATGTTTGTCTTCCAAAAATTTCCTTAATGGCTGGTTAACAATGTTTTCACATTGATGTTGCTTCTATTATTTTTTGTACAATCTAGGGGGCGTGTATTGGAGGAAAAAGTGAACACCCGGGGTGTTCATTTGAGGGATACGTTTATTCCAAATGTGGCTGTGGAAGGAGCCCTTATTCAAATAAATATTTGTATTTTAACTTTATAAAATGAAGTCTTTGACTACAGGCTAACACTTTACCCTTTAGCAGCCACTAGCATACACTGCATTTTACTCTACAGTTTACCACTGATTTAGAGGGGAGAGGAGGTTACGGGGTCCTCCCCTGGAAACATTTTGTTTCCTAATTGATTGGATATGCATTTTCCTGCCTTCTCAGGGGTATGATATAAACTTTATATTTCTTCAAATTTCTGATAGTTTCATTGTGATTGGAGCCAGGGGACGAAAAATATTCTGTAGTTGGGATGCAGGGTGAAGGCCTTGAAACAAAGCAGACTTGGTGCTAAGTAGTGGAATTTGGAGGGGGTCCAGGGCTCTTCACAGGATGAAGATTTTGTTTTCCATATGCTCAGATATGCACATTCCTGCATTCTCAGTGGTCTGAAAGACTATGGATTTCTTTCAATTTCAGTTATTACATTGTGAGATTATTGAAAAATTAATTTTTATACTGGGAAACCATAGAATCTAATGTTCTCTCACAGGGCCCTGAAAAATGATGATGATGATAATGATGAGGCTTCGGCTTATGATGATGATGATGATGACATACGTGGTGGATCAATTTGACAGTGATAGGAGTAATGCGCTTGAGTACAGGGAGTGTATGCCTGCATAAGGAGAATAAAGCAGACGCGATGTTGCGTTAGATACAATTGAGGAGGATCTTCTGGAAAATTTTTTTTTCAAGATGTTGGGAATGGATTTTCCTGCATTGTGAGAGTGTATTAATTAATTTGCAAATAGACTCGTGAAGCACCATCAAAGCTTTATCGTTTAGAGTACCGTAAGACATCCAGAAAAATTGCATTGAACTTTCCTGACCGCATTAGTGAGGTCTCAACAATGGGGTCCATAATCCACCCCCACCGATGCAACTCCGATAAAGTTTAGGTGCAGAACCCTCCTGAAAAATATAACGATTCTGTTCTAAAAACAACAGGGTATAACGGTCGGAAGTGGTTTAAGAGCCATGTCATCGCCTATTTACTTCTACAAGTTGCTTTACTATTTTTGTCAGATTGACGGTTTGGGGTTTGAATTGTTTGTAGAAAATAAGGGAGCTGGCATGCCCCCACCTCTTAATCTGTCTCTCATGGCAGAAACTTTATTTCTAGTAATACAGTATATCACTATTTAGTTTCAATACCAGTTTCATAGGACTAGTTCCTTACTTCATTGATTAACAGACCATTCACGTATTTGCGACAAATAAGCCACCCATCGTAAAAAAACTTATTTCAGCTCTGTTTTTTGGGTTTTTTTTTTAATAGTTCTATTTTAATTGTTAGTTTTGCAGTTGTCCCTGATGTTTTTTTTATATGTGAATGTTTTTAGATTACTTTATCTGTGAATTTTGCAATTTATATGTATAGATATGATATGTAAAATAACATGCATTTTCACATCATTGGTCATAATTTGTTTGAATCAATGTTGAAAAGAAGTTAACTTCCAATCAGTTGAAATTTCTAATAAGGAAATCCAGTAGCACTGCTTAGAAAGTAGAAGATCCTGGGTACTTTTTCCGCACTCACAGATTCCTCTTAATAATAATGAAAATGCTTATAAATATATATATGTTACAGAATAATTTTAGTGTAATGAATTCAAAATCACATTTTAAAATTTAAGTAGAAACTGTCTATACAGTTTATATATATATATATATATATATACCATTTATATAGAGTATAATTCCCAACATTACAATTATAAGCATTGTTTTCAGCTCTTGTAGTATTTGGATAGATTTATCTTAGCTTATTTGCTTACATGATTACTGAATTTTGCTTTAAAGCTCTCTATTGATTTGTCGTTATTGCAAAGTTTAAGATTCATTTCCAGTTTCGTCATTAGATTCCATTTGTTCTTGGACAAGTTTTCTGTACCAAAAAATGTATATTCGATCTCTCTTGTAAGGCTGGCAGTTAGCGCTCTTCCAAAGGCAACTACAGACTGGCGGAACTTGGAAAAGAAAGTAATTGGAATGTCCTTCACCTGTGGGCTTCCTTTGATGAATCGCTGCAAATAATTTAAACCTGTTAACTGGAATACTTCAGGCAGAATGTGCATGTCATTTGGGCTCAGGACATTTTGTTTGATCAAACTCTCAAAGAGTTGAGTTGCCCGATCTGCTTCAACACGTGTGTGTGCGTCTTTGATAAGATCAGTGAGAGCAACCTTCAAAACCCACAGATCTTCTTCATCCAAATTTTCAGATATTTTCAATAGAATCCCTCGGAAGTCTTGCTCATCCATTGTACACTCTATTGAGGTATAAAAGGATAAGGTAAGTTATATTAATTGCTAAATGAAAAGTATTATAATATAGGCAATGGGTATTGTTACACCAGTCTTAAAAACCAGTTTCTAATTCTGATTGGATGTTATTGCATGGATGGAATTAGGACAGTAACATCCAATATGAATCAGGAATTGGTTTAAGACAGTGTAACAATAGAAGCGGTTGGCGGATTGGTTGTGGCTTGTGACTCCCAACCTTTAAGATCAGAGGTTCCAAACTCTCGCTGTGCAAGTCGCTTATGTCCTTGGGCAAGGCACTTTATCTATGTTTGTCTCTCTCTACCCAGGAGTATAAATGGGTACCTGGTAGGATGTTGTTTCATTGAATGTATTTGTTTCGTGTGCTAAATAAGTAGTGAACGACTAGGTATACTCCCCAGGGAGCAGAGAATGTTGCACTTTGTGCTGGTTTACCATTGCATGTTATCCAGTGACCAGGGGTAATAACGCTCAGCACCTTTGATCAATTCATCGATATTGGCGCTATATAAATATTTGGGTATTAATACGTGGGTATTATAGCCACAGACTATAATAAAACTGAATTGAGAAATTCATACCTTGTGGAACGTTTGATAGATTTGGCAGTGAGAATTCATCATCAGAACAGAGACTGCATAAAGCACATGCTGAAGGTTGATGATCTAAAATAGAATAATTTCGTATTTCAATTCAATGCCTGGCAAAAATATAAAATCATTGCATGAAATTCCCTGAAAGCAACATAGGATTTTTCAACTTCAATTTGTTTTATATTTGATCAAATTGCAATAAAGTAGTATCGTATAGGATTGACATGCATAAATTTATGATAAAACACAAAACATAAATAATATTCTTTTTGTATTTAATTTTTTTTAGTTGTTGTTCACATCACCTTTTTTCATAAAATCATAATTTTACATACTATAGTGTACTGTACTTACCGTACAGGGTTAGCTATGTGTTAAGAGACTGACGATTGTTATCTAGTCCTTTGAAAACGGTCTTTAATAGGGGTCTCAGAATAATAAGAGTTTCAAATTGAACAGTGCACTCTACAATAGGCTTAATATATAATAGATTAGGTAAATGCAAAAGTGAACCACACTTTATTTGTCATGCTCTAATCAATCCTACAGGTATTAATTTCTAATTTAATGTATACAAATTTTACTAGTTATTGCTTTAACAATTATAATAATGTTTCTGTAAATGATTTGTTTTTGACTAAATGCATACCAGTACATAAATAATTTGCTAAATTGATAATGGATAAAGCAGAACACTATAGGAACCTTTTGGAAATACATTAGAAACTATTATTAATTATAGTTGAAAAAAATAGTTTTACCTGAATACTCTTCTTCAGGATTAAAGTTGCCTTTCAATTGCTCAGAAAGCCAATTATATCCCCTTTGAGCAAGAGCTGAACTCATTGTAGTTAGTTGGTTGATGTTGGATGGTTGCTTATCCCTCCAAGACACAAGCATTTTCATTATTGCATTCTTCACAGGTTTGTTGTCTTTTTCTATGCAGTCTAATTCCGATAACTGCAGTCCTAATTGAACACCCACAAGTTTCCAATCACCCTTGATTTCATCGCAAATACTGAGCAATGATTTATCATCCAAACGATCTGCAAGCAAAAGAATAAATACTGCATGTTCATTAATTAACAAGGATTTATTAAATTTTAAATGTTAAAATCATTCCTTGAGAAAATGGCATCAAATACACCGTATCTAAGATCAACTCAAACAATACATTTATTATCTGTTACTTATAAAGTTGGTTGTAAGCACTGAACCATTTGTTTGTAAATGGTTTTACTACATCAAGCTGCTCTCCTTATAAAATACAGTTTATGAAAACACATTGACTTTTGGCAGAATTGGACAAAATGCACATTAACTAATTCAAAACCATGAATACTGGGCTTAAGGGCTTAGCAAAAACTTTTAAGTAACTCAACTAGAAAGAATAAAGTCAAACTACTTGTAGAACACATGTTTTGCCATTTATTAATCCAGCATAGCCATATTTGACAAACCAAACCCAGTACCGTTACGATTTTAATCGTACGGGAAATATCCTCAAGATGATATTAGGTGCTTTATATGTAATCTGTTTGCTACCCTTTAAACTGAAAGTATTTATTATGCCAGAATCAGATTCAGTCCATGCTCTCAGATCTGGGCCTGAGAAGAAAGGACTTGCTGCTGGCCAGCAACAGCCTGGCGGTGCTAAGTCTGTCAGAGCTGGTTGTAAGATGAAAGCCCCGAGTCAGCAGAGCCTAGAAAAGTCATCAACGGACAGGCATAACTGTTTCAAAAATGAAATGATCAAATGGCCAGTACATTTCCATGTCAGGTAGGGCAAAAATTACACCTATATTATTACGTAGTCTAACAAAAGCTTGCCCTTGACAATCAGCAGTAGAAAGGTGGTAAAAGTTCCTAAATATGTTGCTCTAAATGTGTCAAGTTTAGTGATTTTTTCTAATTTTGAGAATTTGTATTTGTTGCGATACATTAGACAAAAAAATAAGTGTCCCCTTAATAGAGGTTATTTGACCATTTGGCACACTCAGATAGTGTCCCCATCCCCTTAATAGGGGTGTCCCCATCCCCTTAATAGGGGTGTCCCCTTAATAGGGGTGTCCCTTTAAATAACAGGGGTTGGCCGCACTGTTAAAAGATATATCGCCTCTCGTTTCACGGAAAAGTGTCCCCTTAATAGAGGTGTCCCCTGAATAGGGGTGTCCTAAAGGAGGGGTTTTACTGGATATGGATATAATATCTGAAATAAAAAGTTAGTTGATTGATTGATTAATTGATATACAAGACTTGGCAAACTATTCATTCTGTTTCAGGTTGTATTCCAAATCAAAGACATCTTGCTTTATGCATAATGGATAAAAAATAACAGACCCACAAAATGTTGTTAAAACTTTAAATGATTATTCAGTAAACAATGGACCAATTCTTGCAGAGAGACTTAACAATACAACCCTATTAATCAGCACTATTCTCACTATCTTAATGCACCTCTTAATGACTTTTTAAAATCTCAATTCACAGCAACAATGTTGTCAAGTCTATATCTAATTTAATTTCAAAGCCTTTCTGATTGAATGTACAATGCTTACACGCTGCATCACACACAACTAATATCACACAAAGCAAGATTATATATTTGACTATGGTTTACTATTTACGCAAAAATACAAAAGATATTCTTTAAGATATGACCTCCTTAACAACCATATCATTATTTTTTATTTATTATTTTCATTTATTATATTATATTGTACTAAATTTCTACCTGAATATACTTCATAATTCCAGTTGCCTGTCAATTGCTCAGAAAGCTGACTATATCCTCTTTCAGCAAGAGCTGAACTCATTGTAGTTAGTTGGTTGATGTTGGATGGTTGTTTATCCCTCCAAGACACAAGCATTTTCATTATTGCATTCTTCACAGGTTTGTTGTCTTTTTCTATGCAGTCTATTTCGGATAACTGCAGTCCTAATTGAATACCCACAAGTTTCCAATCACTTTTCATTTCATCGCAAATACTGAGCAAAGTTTTATCATCCAAACAAACTGAAAGGAAATGTATGAATACTGCATGTCCATCAATTATGTAACACAGATGAAAACTTGATGAAAACAAATACATTCCAATATGCCTATATAATTATTTTACAAAGCTGGGTATATTTGATATTCTGTCAAATATCAAATATTTGATATTCTGTCAAAGTCACATTTAAGAAATAAAAGAAAAATATTAGTCAGCATTGGGCATAATACTGATCCATATTTTTGCCATTTTATTTTTGGTAAATATGTGTTAAAAGTGGTAATGAAGCAATATAAGTAGTAGTGGCAATTAACCTATTGTTAATCATGTATGCATAAGCTCTTTCCTGTTTTGTTTTCAATTTTTTACTTCACACACCTGATAAAGCTGGCATTGACTGCCAGCGATAGCTTGTGTTAAATAAATAACATCTAAGTTATAGTCTCAGAGTGCTGCCTTTTAATTTTCTTTGTAAATATGTGTGTATATGTTTATTATTGATTCTATATATTGTTAATATTATTGCTATGTTGGTGGGCTGAGGTGTTATAACCCTCAATCTGTGAAATTCCCTCCCTTGCCCCCTCTATTTCAATTCCTAGAAGTCCAGTCATCCCATACCCCCTCAATTTTTCAAAAAAAAAAAAAAATGTTTAGGGCTTTGCCCCCTGGAACACTTTATAGAGATTTCGTCTGATGCCTGTCCATGCCCAATTTTTTCCTTAGGGACCCGCACCCCCACCCCTTCCAGTCGGGGACCTCAGACCTCCAGTCGGGCAAATCCTGCCGCCACCATTTACCTCGATCCCAGCAGTGTTTCGCCCTAGGCACCTTCCCCCATGGAGCCATTTTGGTCCACTTTCTAAAAATTTGCACCCACCCAATAAAAATCCTGCATATGAGCCTGTGATATATGTAACTATTTACAAATTTTCTGCAGAGATAAATAGCAATCAGCTTGTTTTGAATACCTTCACAAAGAACTGAAGATGCTTCCACATTAGGTCGTAGTTGCTTCGCAACAGAGGAAAATCCTTCATGTTCTAACGCTTCGCACATCATCTGGAGTTGATGTGTGGAATAAGTCTGTCGCTGTCGCCATTTGGTCAACAGCTCCATGGATGAATCAAAACTATCGCCATGATGCTGTGTTTTTGCTGATGACACATCACTCCATGTAAGACCAAGACGTACTGCAACTTTCGGATACTTAATGCCAATTCCATTACTAATAAGCATCAGGTCATCATCATGAAGAAACCCTATAGAAAGCAATATGATTGTTTATAAAATTATAATACAAGGATAGATGGTAATTTTATTAATCCTATAGGAAATTTCATACCTGATTATAACAATGCGAATAAAGTAAAACAAAATGCCTTAGACAATAACTGATAGTGATACAAGTAGTTAAATTAATAATAAGAAAGTACTAGGATAAGTCTTGAAGATTTGCATGGTTAATTGATGTCAATAAATAATTATAAGTTTTCAGTACACACCATGTGGCATATATGCTGCAAATACAGTACAGTATTTAGGTTCTGAGAAGAACCATTTGGATTGTAATGTCCCAACGATTTAGTTTAGTATACTCTAACCATTAAGAATTAGGCATAGGCCGATTTTTGTTTGTATAAATATTATAAGCAGGCCATAATGCCACCTTCTAGGGCCTAGCCCATCCAAAAATGCTACAGGTTCTCCTGTAGGCCAAGACAGTGTGTGTTGGTATTGCTTATAATGGTGCATTCAAATCTTAGCCAAATATATTTAATAGGCCTATGCATTTTACAGCCTTCATCTCTTACATTTATTTGACATTTGATTCAGAAATAACTTCTTATTTAGAAATGACGATGTATTTTCCTTGTTGGATGTTGAAATTGCCCTGAACCATTTTAACATATCACTGTCTCCCCAGGTTGCTGCATAAATACCGAAACAAAAAGTGGGTTCTACTATAATTTAATGTAAAATGAGGCATTTTTGTAAAATAAAACCCTTACAAATGAAAAGATCAGATAAATTTATGTAAGAATTTATAAAATCAATGTGTTTCTTTAGTGGTTAGCGAACACCCGCCTTCGAAAGTTATGTTTAACTACATAATTTGAGTAATGCTTCCACTTGTATATCAGTTTGCAGTGCTCATTAATCCACACTACCATGCTCGAAACACCTTCTTATCAGCAAGGTGTAAATTGACTGTTCTATATAATATATTTTGATAGAATTATTAAACCTGGAGCCCCACTTTTATTACTATTTCCTAGCCTCAACTCCTTTTTTTAAAGTGAAAGTCACAATCACAATCTCTTTGGTTTTTTGAAACATTCAATTTAAAAAAATTTATATGACAATTCCATAAATCTTTTTATTTCCTGTATATACTCAGAACCATCCTCTCCCATTATCAACCCAACGAGGGCAGTGCTATGAGCAAATTTTATTTTGGGACAAGGAGTTTGATCAATTATCTGTAATCAGCAGTGTAGACTGAACAGATTAAAAGAGCTAAAACTATGCCCTGTGGTGCACCAGCATTAGTAAAAATTATAAACTGAAACGCCTGAACTTAGCCTAACGAACTGACTATATGGCTTACCAGAAAATTATTTACAAAAGCAAGTAATAAACATGGGAGATCCAAAACAAGCACTTCCTTTATGAAAAAAATGCCATTTGTAGTTACATATTAACATAAAAATAAACATTAAGAATATCATTCTATACCAAACATGATCATAAAAAATGTCGACATGTTAAAAACATAATCTCCTTTAAAAATCATTGAATTTAAATTGATGTAATTACCAGGGAAGTTTTCAGGTAGGCCAAAGTCATCTCTCAGTTGCTCAGCGAGTTGAATGTAACCCCGTTGATCAAGCGCTGCTCTCATCACAGATACCTGATTGATATCAGTTGGTTGTCGATTTTGCCATGACACAAACATTGCCATCACTGCATCCTTTTCTTGAACATTGTCACTTTCAAGTTTCTCTATTTCTGAAGGGCTTAATCCAAGCTGAACTCCAAGCCTTCTCCAATTGCTATCCATTGCATCACACAATCTGAGTAACTGTTTATCATTCAAAACACTTCCTACGAAGTACAAATTCATTTTAGACGTTTAGTAAAACTTTCAAAGTAAACACATAACTTCCACAATGTGTCAAAGTTAGGTAAATACCTGAAATAGTACATTAATTTATTATATATAAATATATATACACTGTATAATATTCAAATTAGGTTATATCACAGTAAACAAAATATAAACAAATAGATATATAATACAGTGCTCAAATAGCAACATGATGTTATGATCTTATCCTCTATTCCCCAGTGCTATGAGGTCAGTTCTTGGCATTAGTGACCAGATGTATGAGAACTACAATGGCAGCACAAAGCATTTTTATTGATTCTTTGCATCCCTCTTGAAATCCAAACATTCAATTTCATTGCCTTGAACTTTTGCCAATGAAACATGCTTATTTCATGGTGCTGTATTTTCTATACACTAATACTGGTAACCTCAGTGTTTCCTGGTTTAAATTACCAACATCTAGAGTTTTTCTATGTGTTAGCCTCATATATGTTGGCCTCATATATGTTGGCCTCATCAGAAACCTACAGATGAGCTTCGCTATTATGCAGACCTCTAGGAACAACATGTAGATGGAATTTGTAGGCTTTCTTTTTATTAAACAGAAACTCAACACAGAATCCAAATCAAAGGAAATAAGTAACTAAACGAAATGTTAAGGTGAATGCATTTTAGAATTCCCAAACAAATTACATATTGTAAAACAATTGATTTTGCCACAAACCTTTTTCAGTTTTGTTACCATCTCCAAATAATTGTTGGTAGCGTGTTATTCTCACTCGGTCTCGTCCACATGGAAGCAAGTCTTGTTTAAAATCTCCCAGTATCTGCATATGTTCAGTATTCTTACTACAAGGGCAGGGGATGCACAAATTAACATGTATTCCTCTCCTATCATTAACATTGTGTAACTCAAACACAGTCTCAAGAAACTTCAACACCTGAAGAATAAGTACAATTGTTCTATAACTTATTTGGACAATTCTGTAAGTTTGTTATTCATGAACAAATATTCAATCTTTAAATGGAAAAATAAAATACCTTTTTGCATGATTCAGGCTCTGGTTCAGCTGGAGGACTAGCCTCACTAAGAATCATTGCTCTTACAATTGTTGTCTGCAAAAAAAAACATAATTAAATGTTTTGGTCTAGTTACATATTTGATAAAGATTTATTAGAAAACTAGAAAGAAAATGATGAAAATATTTATGAAAAATGTTTATATAATTTGGAACAAGTAAAGGTGAATACATTTTTTGACAGTTAATCAAAAATAGTAATATGAATGAGATGAAAATCCAGCGCAACTGCGGCTTTAAATGATGTTACAGACAAAGAAAATGATAGGAAGTCTGAGATTTTTTCCACAGCTAGTTTTAGAGAGCTGTGCATGCAGCTGGCAGAATTCAACAAGAGAGACCACAAACACTAGTGGTCAGATCATCTTAAAACATGGAAAGAAACTTTTTTAAATTTTCAACAAAATAATAAAGGCATTTGGCTTATAGGAGGGACACAATTTAATGAGGTACCTCATTGAATTCATTCGATTGTCTTTATTTAGAGGCAATGCTATTTCATTGTCATATGCACCACAGCTAAATACAGAATGAAAAGCTCAGCTAGGATGTAGTGAACAAGCAGAAAAAGACTAGATAGGGACTCCTTTGAGATCCCTTAAAACATTTTTTACTTAAAAATATATTGTTATAAAAATTATTCTATATTTATA